TTAATCTACTTCATCATCATCGTCATCCGAGATGGCATACTTCTTTGAGATTTTCTTTTTGCGTCCTGGTGTCTTCTTGGTTTTGTTCAGCTTTAATTTCATTTTGACAGAGGAGTCGGCATCTGAGGCATTGTCATCATCATCTGGTAAAAAATAGATTGGAATAAAAAATAAAATGGTAATCTTATATATAAAAATGGAGCTCTCGATCAATGATCCGGTAAAACTCGAAAACGGCTAAGCGATTTGGCCAGTCTTAGTCTTGAAAAATTCGTGCTAATCAGTAGTTGTCGGAAAGGTGAGATATTATTTCAAATCGCGTAAAAACTTTACATTTTTAATTTAACATTTTTTGTAGAGGCGTAATTTGAATAAAACAATGAACGGTGGCTAATCCGTCAAATGTCAGATGAGTTCCATTACGTTTAATAGGTGTTTTACGTGAATATTATTTAATTATGATTAAATTGTGGTAAGTATAGTTTTGTTTGTAGTTTTATTTATATACAAAAACGTTAGTAAAAGTTTTGACGTAAACAAATTGACGGCTTAAAATATATTTTAAAAATGTAAAGCGTTGTAATACAGTTATGAAATTATAGTATGTTATTTATTATATGTGGTACTGAATTATAAAAACATAAAATCAAATATGTTACTAACTAGGGTTTATACAAAAACCGACATTTCAGAAAACCGGTTTTCGATTTTTTATTTTTACTAAAACCGGTTTTAAATTTTGCTCAAATATTCTGTAATTTATCCGCAAATTTAGTGTAATTTAGAGCAGTATTTGACTGAATTTATTTATTGTTCAATTTATGGATAGCAAACAAAATTATTTTATTTTAATTAGTAGAACTAAAAAATAATAGTTTATATGGATTAAATACTTTGAAAATAATATTCGTTATTCATGCATCATTTTCACATATAGAAGCAAATATTTTTATGATAGTAAAAGGAAAGTTTTCGAACAAATAAAAATAATACATTTTTAAATAAAAAACATTCATTGAAATAAAAAAAATAAAAAAATATTAGATACGTGTTGACTTGTTAATATCAATTATAGTTTTTAAAAACAATTGCTAAACTCGCGTATTGTCTGTTCCGAGTAATCTTAATAATTAATTTTAAACATTCTAATTGTTTTTTTGTTTAATAATAATATGATTTAAAGAGTCCTTTATTGTTTTACTCACACAATTTCTGAAATAGAAAATACTCTCATACTTGCGACCAATTATTGTTTTTAAAGCCTGAATAATAATTTTTAGTTTTTTGTTCTTTAATTTGTAGCTTCTAGGGTTCAAAACTCTTTTTTTTTGTTAGTTTGAGTAGAGGAAGTTACTTCTTCAAGAAGTCAAAACTGATTTAAATTAATATATAAACTGGTATAAAAATCTCAATTAAATATTACATTGGTCTAACACAAAACCATTCTGGGAAACCATTGCAGACTGATAAGATTCCAAATGCTATTGAACCGATATGATTTCAAGAATCAGAACGCTTTCATCTATCTTATATTTGGCTTTAATTGTCATTTTCCATTTATAAAGTGAAAACCGACTTTTTTCACTAAAAAATCGGTTTTCGAATTCCATAATTTTCGCCAAAAAACCGGGTTTTAAAACCGGTTTTGAAACCGACAAACCCTATTTCTAACAGAAGAAACTAAAAAATTGCAATGTACACTTGCATACTCTATTTTATAGTTGCGAATCGACGGTGGATAGGATATGAGAAGTACTTTTGAAAAATGTTTTTAAAAATATACAATATTATACCAGAGCTATGAAATTTTAGTATGTTATTTCCCAATATATGTACTCAATTATAAAAATATAAAATCACATATTTTCTAACAAAAAAAGCTATAAATGTGCAATTCGCAAACAAACAAATGCACTCTTGCAATAGTTGCAAGTCCACGGTTTGATGAGATTTTAAAAATATTTAAAAATATAAAACGTTATACTAGAGTCACAAAATTAGTATGTTATTTCTAATATGTGTACTAAATTATAAAAATATAAAATCACACATGTTTCTTACAAAAAAACAGCTATAAATTTGCAATTCAGTAAAAATCATGTAATAGGGCTGCAAGTGTTACTACAAACTCAACAATATCAATTTTTTGAAATGTTAAAATGAAAATGCACTTTTTGGCGTTGTTAGCATTTTTTTTGCAAATCATATTTTTCTGAAACACGGTGCTCTGAAAGATCTCAATTTTAAAATTACATACTCATTGGTATTTATAAAACATTTTCTAAGCTATATTATTTTTTATTTATGATGTAATTTAAATTCAGAACCTAAATTTGGTATCATCAAAGGAACATTTTGTCGAATAACATTTTCCCAGTTATCATTTCCCAGAATTTATCGAAGAATAGATAGTAATATATGAAGGTCGGGGGTTAAAAGCGTCCACCACCAATGTGTCAAAAACCAGTAAAGTTAAGCACATTTTAAACACATTATTTGAAAGTAGGGGGGAAAAAGATGTATAACCAGCTATAACCTTGATTCATATGACTTTGCTATCGGGAGATAAACGGTAATCTTTGAAAATCCATAATAAAAGTTTTTTTCCGTTGGTAGTTTTTTAGCATTAATTAAAAATGTAATTATTTTGTAAAATACCTTTAAAATTTAAATAAGACATTAAACCTGTTTTGATATTAGGTTGTCAAATATCTCCCTTCCGCCTTTTTGTATTATAAACCAATAGCAAAAAAGCGGAAGGGAGATATTTGACAACCTAATAATAATAACTCATTGTGTAGAGCATTAAAACAACACATCCTTATACACTTAAAGTATTAATATTTTTGATTCTCTAGAAATTATTTAGAATATACCCTACTTAGCAAAACAACGTTTGCCGGGTCAGCTAGTAAAATATAATTATTTAGTTGTGCTTATTATATTTTTAATAAGTGTCATGATTGTGTATAAGTTAACTTTTATTACTATTACCCTTACCTTCATTTTCACTATCGGGTGTAGCAACTCTGGAAGTTGAAGCGCTTCCACTATTGCTCTGATCTTGGTTCTCAAACTTCTGTCGAGCGTTAGCAAACACAGCTTGTAGCACCACACTGTCTTTATGAATCACGAGTCCTCCTCATTGTAGATTTGGGCATTTTGGCAAAGCTGTGTGAAATCTTTCTCCAAGTCGTTGAAATCTGCATACTATTGGTGGGAAATAGATGTAATTATTTATGTGAAATGAATAAATTGGAAGGTATATAGTAGAAACTGGATATAATGGCAGCATTTGTAATATAACATTATATCCAAATTCTAAAATAAATGATATGTTATAATGCAAAACGATTAAGCATGGAGTTCTTGAAGAGCTATGAAGATTATGAGGCCAAAAATATAAATGATAGTCTATAATCATATGAGTATTATGAGTCACAAATAAACCTAACCTCCAAAAGTTGAAAATTTAAATTATGATAAAATTCTTATTTGTGCTTTTTGGAGGTTAGGTTTTATGTTTGAAACGCCTGAACGCACAGCAAATACATAGCATTTATACATAACATTTATATTTTATTCAAGAAATTAACCCCTACATGTTGATGAAAATAATAATGTGTCGATAGTCAAAATGGTTTTGTTTGTGCATTTCAATGAAAGTTAAATGTACCCAAATGAATCCATTATCATTATCATTTCCATGTTACCTCAATCAAGTTTCAATCTACCTAACTCGCTCCTCGACTGATTCGTCAGCATTATAGATTTAAAACAGTAAATTACAGATGAGGATGAATAATGAATGATGTAACTACTAAATCACCTTAACCTCTTCAATTCGTTGCATAATCTTTTTGATGTCCATTGGCTTACGAATTATTTCATAGTAGTGTGGCAGCTCCTTGCGGGACGGTAGTTTCATGAAGGGTTCACTCAGAATTCTTCCCGAACTGGGGTAAAAGACACAGGAGAAATAATAATAAAAATAAACTTGGAAATATTAGGTATGTATTTATACATGTACAGTAGAATCCGATTAGTATGACGCCGGATATATTGACAACCGCTTATTATGACGTAATCGCACTAGGAAGTTTGGTTTCCATATAAAATTCCTTAAAAAACAGCTGTCTAGTCGCATATATTGACATCGCTTACATTGACATGTTGCTTATATTGATCCATTTTTGCAAAAAATTATGTCCTATTATAATGACCGACATGATTTTACATGATGTGGCCAAGATTACGAAAGCAATTGCCATGTCTTTTGTGCACAGTAGCACCAGGGACTGTTTTTACAATAAAATTATGTAAAGAAATCAATCAAAAATTACTGATTACTTACATTAAAAAATCACATTTGTATGTTTGTGGGTAGGGTAGACCAATTATTAATAGTCCACCACGGATATCTCGTAAACAAATAAAATTAATTTTTTTTTAAAAAAATATTTGATAGTAGAGGGCAAAAAATGTAAAAATGTATAACCAGTCATCACCATCATTCTTATGACTTTGCTAGCAGAAAATAAGCAGCAATGAGTGGGATAAAAAGGACCAGCTGAACTTTTACTTTAGCAAACATGTAAGCAATAAAATAGTATAAAGTTTAAAAAAAAGCAATTTTACAAGAGATTAATTAAATAAATTGTTATTTCGGCTCTTCTGATGAATATTTCTGATCAATAGCAGATCAATGTAATATACTGTGTTATCTTTGTAACAAATGTACTCACAGAATTAATATTTTGCATTGGTTCAATAATGTAGCGTAAAATCCCTTTAAAATTTAATAGAAGAAATTGCATCTGTTCGCCCCCTGGTTGTCCCACTTTACCCCATATGTGAGATAAAATGGGTCAGATACTAAATTTTTGAAAAATAGTACTAAATATAATATTTATATAATTAGGAATTATGTACGTATGTATGTAAGTTTTTCTGAACATAGTTTGATAGATGCTTGTTTGATGTGTGTTATGTGTTGTTCATTGGGTTGAGATAGTATAATTACTGTAAGTCAAATTGGACCTTTGTGCCCCGCCCTACCCTATGTCAATTTTATTTTATATTAAATTTTAATGTGTCATTTTTATTTTTAATTAAAATGTATGTATAGGCTTTTCTTTTAAATTACTGAAACATGTAACATATTTACATATTAAATTTTCTTCAGTATGCTTTGTATGACGACCGGTTAGTATGACGAAATTTCGGCGTCCCTTCGATGTCATACTAAGCGGATTCTACAGTATATATATATAATTATTTACCCGTCTGTGTATTTGATGACAGTGTTCATGGTCTTCTTCATCTGTTTTCTCAATACTTGATCTGCTGATTTTCCAGAATTGCTACTCGAACCCGAAGGCTGGGGACCTCGTTTGCGTTTGACGGGAGCTGGTGATTCGCCTTCCGAATCATCATTTCTTCTGTTTCTTGAAGAAAAAAAATTGTGTTTTATGAAGCGCACAAATTACACTTAATTGCCTAGATCTATTTTAGTAAATAATTTGTAAAAGTATCAAAAACTTACTTTCGTTTACGTCCTTTCTTCTTCTTCAGATCCTTCTCTTCTTCCTCCTCTTCCTCTTCTTCATATTCTGCTCCATCATCGATAGCCTAAAAAATAATAGATTTTTTTTTAGATACTAATATTTATATTTTAAGATTATTCACAATTATTAACAATAATAAGATTATTAACAATATTATTCTTGTCTTATTGGATTCTAAAAAAATGAGCTCTACTGATGACTAGTAAACTGAATGAGAACTAGTGGGGTGCATGGCATCGTGCCATGATTTATGTATTTATTTATTTATTTATTTATTTTACAAGTCGTCGGTATAATAATATTATAATAAGGCTCAAGTCATAATTTTACCGGTTTAGTATAATTTAATTAACTATTAGCTATTTTATTACTTATTTATTTATTATTTACTATAAACTTATTTATATTTAGTTAATTTTAATTATTTTTAAATATAACTAGTTTGTTTGTTGCAAGTATTTTTTAAAATGTAATATGTATTTTAATAAGCTTTGCAATACTTTTACAATATAATTATTTTATTTAACAAATTTTAGGTTATTTTATGATATTTTAACAAATTTAAGTGTATTATATTATTATTATTATTATTATTGAGGCAAATTGCTGGAACTTTCCGTACCGTAATTAAAAATTCGAGAAATGAAAATAATCAATAATTGTTTTTAATAATTTCAAATAGATTATTTGATATGCATACATACTGTAAACTTAGAAGTGCTTTTTAAATTGGTCGACGAGCGAATTCTACAAACAACTTATGTGTATGTTTATAATTTTTTTTTTAATTTGTTCTTTTTTTAAATTTAATTTTTTTAAAAAAAATTTAGATTTTTGTTAAAAGTTAGAATTTTTTGGCATTTTTAAAATAAACGTTTTTTTTTAAATTTTTTGAGAATTTGGAATATTCGATATTTTTAAAAACTTCGAAGAATGCTCAAATTTTTGTAAGAAATCGTTTCTTTTTGTAATTTGGATATTTTTGAAATTTTTCAAAATTTAGTTTTTTTGAAAATGATGAAAAATTTCGAAAATTCGAATTTTTTGAAACTGAATTTATGTTGAAAATTTAATTTTTTTTAAAAAAATCTCAAACTTACGAAAATTTCTGTGAAAGTATTTTTTGAATTAATCGCACAGTCTACTCAAGCAAAAGTTTTTTTGAACTAATCTAATCGGATGATCCTCTCTCAAAAACTGCATAACCGTTTTTACAACCTTTGCGCTCCATACCTCCGAAACGTCTAGACGTGCCTTTGGTAAAAACGCCTCGTGATCGAGTACGAACCGAATGATTTTTCAATCATACAAATCGGTTATTCCATACTGTCAAAAATGTCGAAGACATTTGTTTGAACCTTTTACGTACATTTCAAAATTAAAAATCTTGGTAAGGAAACCAAAAAAATTGACACAAAATGTGTACACATTATTAAAATCTTGACAAAATATCTGATAATTTGATATGCATAAGTCTAATGAACATTTTTGACTGCCAAATGGCATTTTTTTTAACTTATTTTTATCAAGAGTCCACAATCGCTGGACCTGCCTCACCAAAAATTTGAACAGTTCTTCGTTTAGGTATGCCTAAATGTTCAAAAAACTTTGAAACGTAAAGAGATATGAAAATTTTCATTTAAAAGAGAACTCTACTGACGAGCGAAAGCCTTAGTCTTTTAAAGATCAGAAACATGGATTCCAAGAAAAGAAACTCTACTGACAAGCAAATTGAACGAAAAACAGTAAAAGATTCTACTGACGTGGAAATTTAATAAAACTCGAAATTAAAATAATTATTTTGTGTATGACCAGCGTAAATTTTAAGACAAAACGTTCAAAAAGGAACTCTACTGACGAGCCAAAGCCTTAGTCTTTTCGGATCAGTGACATGGATTCTAAGAAAAAGAGCTCTACTGGTGACTAGCAAACTGAATGAGAAAATAAAAGAATAAAAGAATTCTATATATATAAACTTTTTTGTTACCAATTATAGAACAACAATTTAATATTTAGTAAATTAAATATTTTATAGCTGATATAGATACATTTGAAGAATAACAATTTATTTAAAAGACTCACCTTGAGCCACTCCTTCTCTGTTAAACTATCCGTGTAATCAACTTCTTTCCTTTGACGAGAACCTCTTCCAAGAATGCTATCTTCATTTTCATCATAGGTCCATCTTTCAACCTTTAAAATAAAATTGATAATTATATCAATTAGCAACAAAGTATTTATTAAATAGCATGCAAAACAAAATAATTAATTGTAATATTTAATAAAGATGATATGTTAATATAAATAATAAAAAATATTAATAAAATATAAAATAAAATTAGAAGTAGAATTCAAAAATTAAAAACAAATATAAAAAAAATTGAATTTCAATTATAAATAATAAAAATATAAGTATTAATGATGAAAAACAAATAAATTTAAAAATAAAATTAGAATAGGAATAAAAACTAAAAAGGAATAAAAATAAATACTAGCTGTAAGTGGAATTCTGTCTTAAGGCAATTAAGGCATCGTGCCTTAAGGCAAATTGCTGGAACTTCCCATACCAAAAATTATTTTTTTAAAAACAATTAACATTTTTGAAAAAATTTTACTTCGAAATAATAAGATTTTTCAGAAACTATAAATTTGACAAAAAAATACTTTTTTTTAAAAAAAATTTTTTTTGAAAACAAATTTTTTTCGAAAAGAAAAATGCTTTCTTCTTTTTGACATATTTTGGAAATTCTGAAGGTTTTTTTCAAAGCAATCGCACTGCTTTAACTGCATAAAGACGAAATATCAAAGCGCGTAAGCGCCGCGTCGTCGTCTAACGCGTAAACATTGGTACGGAACCCATGGGAATGTAAACAAAATTTATACTTATTGTTAAAATCTCTATAAAATATCTGATAATTTGATGTGCATATGTCTAATGATCATTTGTGACCGCCAAATGGCTCATTTTTTTACTTTTTCCTCCATATCTCCAAAGTCGTTGGACCTGCCTTTCCAAAATTTTGAACAGTTCTTCATTTAGTCAATACAAATAAAATGTTTTTTGAATTATTAAAATCGGACGCTCCGTTCTCATAAAAACTGAGTTACCGTTTTCGGCACTTTTTGCCCCGTATCTTCGGAACGGCTAAACCTGCCTTTTCCAAAAACAAATCAGCACATCTCCTTATCAATACGAATCGAATGTTTTTTGAATTATTCAAATCGGTTGATTCGTGTTCCCGAAATCGTCGACGATAATTTGTATCCGCACATACAACACACACGCACACATACGCATACACACACACATACACACACACACATACATCCATTTTTTCTAAGGTATGCCAAAATGTTCAGAAGGTTTTGAAACGTAAAGATATATAAAAATTTTCATTTTCGATTTTTTTGCGATTACTATAACTTGCCTTACGGGAAGTTAAAAATTAAAGATAAAATTAGAATTAGGATTCAAAAATTAAGATTATAAATATAAATAATAAAAAAATAGAATTATATTTGGATAATGCTTTTTGCATTGGGTATATTGTAAAACTTTTTTTTTAAGTTTGAAATTTACCTCATCGTCTTCCTTAACCAGCCACTCCGGCAACTCTGAAATTTCAATCAAACGACTCTTGCCACCTTTGTTTTCCTCTTTGCGTTTTTCATCCATCTTTTTAAAGATTTCCAATTCCTCTTCGGATCTTGAAATCATCAAGTTTATCATTTCATCATCCGGCACTTCATTTTCCTCCTATTCAAAAAAAAAAAAAACAATACACATAAATAAAAATTTAATTGCACACTATAAATTGATTGTATAAAATTATGTTACCTCTTCATCAGCTTCGTCCTGATGCAAAATACTCTGCAAGAACTGTTGACGCTCTGAACCAGTTGATTTCTGATCGAACATACCGGCTTGGATGACTTTTTCGTCCATGTTCAACTTGTACCTGAAAAAGTAATAAATTCAAGTTTAAACAATATAATCAACTAGTTGGTTTGGTATTTAGCCTTGAGTCAAGTTACATGAACTTCCCGATATGTGTAAATAATCGACTTAATCAAAAAAAAATGTGTAAATAATATACTTCATCAATCCTACTTTAAAAAAAACGATACTAATTTTAGCAAAGTTTGACGAATTTTTAAAATTAAACTACTTGTCGTAAGGCCGTAATATTAAAGTAAGTTCTATAAGACCATGAAGTATATCGCCAAAAAAAGTTCCATGAAAATCGGCTTAATTTTTTTTTTTAACAGTTAATTACAAGAAAACGGCTCGGTAGATTTCACCTGAAACTAATCAGTATCATTCCCAACTAATATCTTTCAAACAGTTTTTGATTTTTCAAAATCGGTTCGGTAGGATGAGCTAAATGTGGACGAAAAGTTTAACACTTTTTTTCAAATTGCAAAGAAACGGCTTGGCAGATCGTCACACAAAAACTGACAAACGATAGTTCTCACCGAAATACATCAAACGGCTTTTAAATTTCTAAAATCGGTTCAGGCGTTTTTGAGAGAAAACGTCGATCAAAGGTCTAATTTTGACAAATGCAAAAAGACCATACTGATTTTTGCAAACTTTGACGAATTTTTAAAGTTAAACCAATTGTCGTAGGGCCGTAATATTTTAGTACGATCTAGAAGACTATGGTATCTACCGTCAAAAAATAATCATAAAAATCGTCGAGTTTTTTTTTTTTTTAAACTTTATTACAAGAAAACGGCCCGGCCGATCTCTACCAAAAAACTATCAGCACGATTCCCAAACAATATCTTTCGAACGGTTTTTGAATTTTCAAAATCGATTCAGAATTGCGGGCTAAAACGTAGACGAAAAATTTTTCACTTTTCTGCGATTTATAAAGAAACGGCTTGGCCGATCGTTGCACAAAACTGACGAACAATAGCTCTCGTCGAGATACATCGAATGGCTTTTAAATTTTTAAAATCGGTCCAGCTGTTTTTGGAGAAAACGTCGATTTACGGCAAAAAATCTGTTCACACACACACACACACATACTTTTTCCAAATTTGGTCTCATTCGATTCAGAACGGCTTGAAACGTCGAGAAAACATAAAATTAGCGAATCGGATTTTTTGATGAAAACAAACTTCTCCTTCAGGAATTTAAAAAGCATATGTCTAATTATTTTACCTGGCTGCAGCCAAAATTCTTTCCTCGACAGAATTGACTGTCATCAGACGTAAAACCCTGACTTCATTTCTTTGACCGATACGATGGGCACGATCTTGAGCTTGCAAATCCTATTAAAAAAGTATAAATGAAAGAAAATAGTAATTATAAATATACAGTTATAATTTTCATCTATTTATTACCTGATGAGGATTCCAATCAGAGTCAAAGATGACAACGGTGTCAGCAGATTGTAAATTCAAACCGAGACCACCAGCACGAGTGGAGAGCAAGAACAAGAAGTATTCAGATTTGGGATCGTTGAATTTCTTTAAAAGGTCACCACGATCTTCTGCTTTCGTTGTACCATCCAATCTAAAAGAAAAAGCAATCATAAGTAGAAATAAAAAATAAATAAATAGAATTAGTATTAAAAACTATAAATTAAAAATAATATAAATATAAAAAATACAAAAATTAAATTAAAATTAGAATTGTAAGTAAATAAAAATTTCAAAATAAAAAAATATATTAAAATTAAAATTAGAAATTAAAAACAAATTAAATTACAAATTATTAGAATTAGAAATAGAATTAAAAATTAAGAACATATACAAAAACAATACAAATAAAAAAATTAAAATTAAAAATAAAGTAAGAATTAGAATAGAAAATAAAATTTTAATAAAAAAATTAGAATTAGAATTGAAATTAAAAATTACTTATATAAATACATATATAATGAATATTAAAAAAAATAAAAATAAAAATTTAGTTAAATAAAAATCTAAACTGATATAAATATAATAAAAGTGTATAAATATAAATGTAAATTACAAATACTAATATAAATATAAACTAGTGGGGTGGGTGGCATCGTGCCTTAAGGCAAATTGCTGGAACTTACCGTACCGTAACGAAATGTTCGAGGAATATTGAATGTTTTCAAATAGATTATTATAAATATTGTAACATTGTCTAATATTTATAAGAATTATATAATCTGAATTGCAGAGTTGAAATTATTTGTTTAAAGTATATTAGAACAATAGTCAAAATTAAAAATAAAATCTGAATTATTTTCGATATACAAAAAATTAAAAAAAAAAATGGAACAAAATTTTTTTTTTCCAAAATCAATTATTTTGTTAAGACAAGCAGAAAGTTTTTTGAATCAATTGAATCGGACGCTTAGTTCTCTCAAAAACTGCCATTTTTTACATATTTAGCTCCATATCTTCGAAAATGGCTGGGCCTGCCTTTGCCAAAAACTAATAACTCCTTCTCCCAATCATTACTAATTGAATGTTTTTAGATCATTCAAAGCGGATACTCCGTTCTCTCAAAAATTCGATTTCTATTTTCTGCACTCTTTGCTCGTTATCTCCGTACCTGCTGGACTGCCTCTACCAAAACTAATCAGCTCTTTTCTTATCAATAGGAATCGAATGTTTTTAAACCATTCAAATCGGTTGATCCGTACGCCCCGAAAACGTGCGGCGAAAATTTGTATCCATACATACATACACATACACACACACACACCACACAACACACATCCATTTTTCTGAAGTATGCCAAATGTTCAGAAACCTTTAAACGTCGAGAAATGTAAAGATTTTCAATTCCGATTTTCGGCCCATTACAATAACTTACCCTAAGGGAAGTTAATATGAATTACAAAAATAACTTAGAATTAAAATTAGAAATTAAAATACAGATACAAATAAAAAAAATGAAATTAGAAATAAATTCTGATATAATTTATATAATAAATTCAAAAAAAAAAATTAATAAATATAAATCTAAACCAATATAAAGACAAATATAATAAAAATGTATAAATATAAATTACTAATCTTTATAAATATAAATATAAATAAATTGAACATTAATGTTAAAGGTAAAGATATTAATTACTATTTTACCTTAGATAATGGAATTGTCTCCACATTAAATAATCTTCGATAATGGTCATACATTGTGTCATTTGACAGAAAAGCAAAACTCTGTGTCCAGTAGACTTCAATTTTGGTAAAATTCTGTCGAGCAATTCAAATTTACCAGAAACTCTATACAGATCAGGCCTGAAACAAAAAATTTTGGTCAATATTGGAATAATTGTAACACATTATATATATATATATATATATATATATATATATATATAGATATATTATTATTTTATTATTATTATTATTATTATTATTATTATTACCCATTTGTGATTCCAGTAGATCCCATATGATCAGCAAACTTCTCTTCGATATGTTGGAACATGAAAGGATGGTTACAAAGTTTACGCAACTGGACAATGGTGTTCATCAGAGCCTTAGCTCCACCTTTGCCCTTATTTCCCTTCTCGGAACCATCAGTAAGCAGAACGCCTTTACTTTGCATATGCCTGGATAAAAAAACACATGTTAAATAAATAAATAATGAACTAGTTGGTTTGGTATTTAGCCTTGAGGCAAGTTACATGAACTTACCGATATGCGTAAATAATCGATTTAATAAAAAAAAGTGTAAATAATATACTTCATCAATCCTACTTAAAAAAAACGATAATAATTTTAGCAAAGTGTGACGAATTTTTAAAATTAAACTACTTGTCGTAAGGCCGTAATATTACAGTAAGTTCTATAAGACCATGATGTATATCGCCCAAAAAAAGTTCCATGAAAATCGGCTTAAATTTTTTTTCAACAGTTCATTACAAGAAAACGGCTCGGTAGATTTTCACCTAAAATTAATCAGTACCATTCCCAACTAATATCTCTCGAACAGTTTTTGATTTTTTAAAATCGGTTCGGTAGGATGAGCTTAAATGTGGACGAAAAGTTTAACACTTTTTTTCAAATTACAAAGAAACGGCTTGGCAGATCGAGCACAAAACTGACAAACGATAGTCGTCACCGAAATACATCAAATGGCTTTTAAATTTCTGAAATCGGTTCAGACGTTTTTGAGAAAACGTCGATGAAAGGTCTAATTTTGACAAATGCCAAAAAAACGATACCAATTTTTGAAAACTTTGACGAATTTTCAAAGTTAAACCAATTGTCGTAGGGCCGTAAATATTTTAGTATGATCTAGAAGACTATGATATCTACCGTCAAAAAAAATAATCATAAAAATCGTCGAAATTTTTTTTTTAAACTTTATTTTACAAGGAAACGACCCGGCCGATCTTTACCAAAAATAATCAGCACAATTCCCAATCAATACCTTTCGAACAGTTTTGAATTTTCATAATCGGTTCAGAATTTGCGGGCTAAAACCTGCACGAATTTTTTCACTTTTCTGCTATTTATAAAGAAACGTCTCGCCGATCGTTCCACAAAACTAACAAACGATTGATACATCGAATGGCTTTTAAATTTTTAAATCGGCACAGCCGTTTTCGAGAAAACGTCGATTTACGGCAAAAAATCTGTTTCACATAACACACATTACCACTACTTTTTCCCAATTTGATCTCATCGATTCAGAATGGCTTGAAACGTCACAAGGAGAAACAGAAAATTAGCGAATCGGATTTTTCGATATATGAAAACATAAATTCTCCTTCGGGAAGTTAATATTTAATTATAAAATTGGTATAAAGTTTACCTGTAAAGTACTTTTTGCAAACCGGACATTTCACACTTGATGATATATTCAACTTTATCAGGAAGTTGAGACTCGACTTCTTTTTTAAGTCTGCGAAGTAAGAATGGACGTAACACTTTGTGCAGACGCCGAATGATCAAAATAGTTTCTTCTTCGTTCAATTCCACCTATAAATAGCAAATAATATTACTAAATTGCAAATAACTACAATACTACTACATTTACACATTACTACACTACAATTTAATCATAATTAAATAGTATTCACGTAAAACATCCTATTAAACGTAATTGAACATCATCTGCCAAAAACGTTTGACTTTTGACGTATTAGCCGCCGTCCATTGTTTTATTCAAATTACGCTTCTACGAAAATTTTCAAATTAAGAATGTAAAATTTCTATCCAATTTTGAAATAATATCTCATCTATTTTATATTTATATTTATATAACCTTTCTATTATTATTATTATTATTATTATTACCTTTTCTCCTGTGGTAGCAAAGGGAGCATTGAACCATTGCTCGAATGTGGAGCAACTTTTGAAGATACTGGGCAACAAGAAGTTCAACAAAGCCCACAACTCGGGCAACTTATTCTGCAAAGGTGTTCCGGTCAACAGAAGTCGATGTGGTGCCAAGTAATGGGTGTTTTTAGGACTTGAGTCAATTGCAGTGATGGTTCTTCATTCTGTGACCTTCGTCGATGATCATGTACTTCCAGGGTAACTGAAATAACAGATACCGTAAGATCTATGGTAATTTTTAGATTTGATTTGTTTTTAACTTCCCGTAAGGCAAGTTATAGTAATCGCAAAAAAATCGAAAATGAAAATTTTTATATATCTTTACGTTTCAGAGGTTTCTGAACACTTTGGCATACCTTAGAAAAATGGATGTATGTGTGTGTTGTGTGTGTGTGTGTGTATGTATGTATGTGTGTATGTATGTATGTACGTGTGTGTATGTATGTGCGGATACAAATTTTCGTCAAAGATTTCGGGAACACGGATCAACCGATTTGAATAATTCAAAGAACATTCGATTCGTATTGATAAGGAGACGTGCTGATTAGTTTTTGGCGAAGGCAGGTCTAGCCGTTCCGAAGATACGGGGCAAAAAGTGCCGAAAACGGTAACTCAGTTTTTAAGAGAACGGAGCGTCCGATTTGAATAATTCAAAAAACATTTCACTTGTATTGACAAGATGAAGAATCGATAAAATTTTCATGAAGGTAGGTCTAGCGGTTTCGGAGATATGGAGGAAAAAGTAAAAAAATGAGCCATTTGGCGGTCAAAAATGATCATTAGACATATGCACATCAAATTATCAGATATTTTATAGAGATTTTAACAATAAGTATACATTTATCAACATTCTATGGGTTCCGTACCAATGCTTATGCGTTAGACAGCGACGCGGCGCTTACGCGCTTTATATTTTGTCCCTATGCAGTTAAAGCAGTACGATTGCTTTGAAAAAAAGTTCAGATCTTCCACAATATGTCAAAATAAAGAAAAAAAAAATTTTTTTTTTTAAAAAAAAAAAAAAATTAAAAAAAAAATTTTTCAAAAAAAAGTAATTTTTTGTCCAATTTATAGTTTCTCAAAAATCTTATTTTTTCAAAGTAATTTTTTTTTTTCAAAAATGTTAATCGTTTTAAAAAAATAATTTTGGTACGGGAAGTTTCAGCAATTTGCCTTAAGGCACGATGCCTTAATTGCCTTAAGACAGAATTCCACTTACAGCTAGTTTTTTATTACCTTGGCTAGGACTCCTTTATCCTTGATAACGTATTCGTAGGTGGTGAGAAGGACATTGAATTTGGTGGCGCGCATCTGGCTCTGGATGGCGCGTCGACCGGCTGGACAGCCCTTGTAGGAGACCACGGCCACGCTGGGGGCCCATTTCTCGAATTCCAACAACCAATTCGAGAGAGTTCTGAAAAGATGATATAGATGATTGTATAAATTAAATTTTCATTGTGTGGTAAAATATTTATACGTATCAGAGAATTTTTGTACCAAGTTTCAGGAAGAAAAAATGAATTATTTTGGTGGCATGAAACCAGCATTGATAATACGTAGACTATTGCATTTTAGTGAAGGCAGACTCAGCAATTTCAAATAATAATGGATTTAGATTGCAATATTATATACATTATTATATTATATATATATACTATATATATATATATATATATTTAATCCAATAATTTTTCAGATTAAGTTTTAGATAATTTGATTTCCACAGATCTCGTAGAATAAGTTCTAGTGATTGCAAAATAAATGAAAATTTTTATATATCTTTACGTTTCAGAGGTTTCTGAAAATTTTGGCAAACCTTAGAATTGATGTATACATGGTTACAAATTTTAATGGACGATTTCGAGAGTATGGGTCAGCCGATTTGAACGATTCGAAAGAATCATTTCTGTCAGGTCCAGAGATTTCGAAGATGCAGAAAAGAAATGCAAAAATTGACATTTCAACTAGTTAAGCCACTCTTAAGTAGTTTTTTTTATATAAAAAAACTAAAATAACTAAATCTAATCCTATTTACAGATTTTTCGACAAAATGTTACATTATATATTTTTTAAAACATATTTCATTGCACAGGTGAGCAAATCTTCAATTTTACATTTTTTTCCAAATATTTTACAAATTTTGAATAGTTTACAAGTAGTAGCTTTTTATTTAGTTTAAGGTTTCACACCAAAATATAAAAAACTAATATCCCAGTAATAAAATTTATTATTAAATAAATGAGTAGATAAGTAAATGTATCAAATGTAACAAAAAACTAGTGGTGTATGGCACAGTACTTGAGGCAAATTGCTGGAACTTCCGTACCGAATTAAAATTTTGAAAACCTGAAAGTTTTTAAATCATTCAGATGCTTAGTTCTCTCAAAAACTGCAATTTTTTGCACATTTAGCCCCGTATCTTCGAAACCTGCCTTTGCCAAAAACTAATCACCACTTCTCTTCATCCATACAAAATTAACATTTTGTATTGTATATTTTGTAAATAAAAATTTAATGTTTTTTGGGTCATTCAAATCGGATACTCCGTTCTCTCAAAAACTCGATTTCTAATTTCTGAACTCTTTGCTCCGTATCTCCGAAACTGCTGGACCTGCCTTTGTCAAAAACTATTCAGCACATCTCCCTATCAATAGGAAATTGAAGGTTTTTTGAACCATTCAAATCGGTTGAACGGACGCCCGAAAACATGGACGAAAAATTGTATCCATGCATACATACACACTCACTCTCGCACACACACACACACCAATATGTTCAGAAACCTTCAAAACGTGAAGAAATGTAAAAAAATTCAATTTCGATTTTTGGACGGTTACAATAACTTATCCTAACGGAAATTAAAAAGTGAAAGAATGGCTCATAAATCTTGATTTTTTTGTGAGAGGCGTTTGAAAATTAGGGGGTTTATGATTTTGATGTTACATTTGAATTTTTTAAATATAATATAACTTTAGCTTATCATTGTGCTATTTTATTCCTGTATTCGATAAATATATTAAAATACGTGCATTGGCATAAATATTATCGATTTAGAATTCCTTTGCAGTAAACAAAAATAAACAAAAATATTAAAACCCACGTAAACAAGTGTGTTGTACTATTTCGGAATCGTTTATCGTCATATTTCGAGAGCACATGCCGTCTTTTCGTTCTGTTTATATATTTATAAATTTAATAAATATATATTTATTAAATACGAACACGGATACGTACGTGAATTGCTGCATACGCAAATAAATTTCGGAAATAATTTTCATGTCCGTACCAAGCACGTCGTCTAAATATATATATACAATATCATCGAGTGCAAACATTAAATTTCGATCGAACCGAATCGAACAATAAAATTGAAATAAATGTGACGGCGACCCAGGGTAGGGGTGCTCCCGAGGAAGGTAAAAAAAAGCTTGTACGACAATAGCAAAAATTACCCTAAATCATTTTTTTTTCTTTAAATTTATATAAAAAAACACGATAAAAGTTAATATTAGAATCGATGAAGAGAATTTTTTCATTAGTATGTGCGTACTAAACAAAATTGAACCCTTTTGTCGACATTTTAGAAATTTTGTCGAAATTTAAAAAAATTCGAAAATATCAGTTGGAAATCGTGCTGAAAAGTTTTTCAGGTAAAGATCGGTCGGACAGTTTTTTCATAAATAAATGAAATTATCTAATTAAATGTATTAATTTTTGTTTTTATTGAGGTCATGGTATAAACCATAGGTTCCCAAATTTTTTTATGGAATTTTGTCATCAAGGTTTGGCTACCTTTAACTAATTTTTCTTTATTTCATTTTTTTATAACTGGTAATTAAAAAACACATACAGTCCTAAATTTTTACCCTCCTACCACAAACCCCTACATTTTGCAAAAGTTATATTAGTAATCACAAATAATTTATTTATAGTAATTAATTTCAGAAAATCTCATTTTGAATAAGGGTTGTCAACTACTAACCCCTTTTCAATTTTGGGACACAATTTCTTTACATTAATGTTTTAAAGTGTGTAGCAAAACACATACAAAAAGTGTGTATGCAGAAACACATACAGCCCTAAATTTTCACCCTAAATTAAAAAAATCTAATTAAAAAAAATAGATATTTTTTATGGCTGAACACGTTTGCAAGGATAGCTAGTATATATATATATATATATATATATATATATATATATACATATATTACAAAAAAAATCAAGCATTTGCCCAATTAATAAAAGATTTAGTGGTGTATGGCATCGTGCCTTAAGGCAAATTGCTGGAACTTCCCGTACCCTAATGAGATATTCGAGGAAGATTAAATGTTTTCAAATAGATTATTATAATTATTTGAAGCATTATATTTAAGTGATGTTCAAATGAAGTTGATTTAAATGATATCAAAAAAATGTTTTCCCAAAAGCAATCGCTTAGCCAACATAAGCAGAATTTATTTATTTATTTATTTGTGTTTTTTAATGTTTAATGTTTTTTAGATCATTCAAATCCGATACTCCGTTCTCTTAAAAACTCGATTTCTATTTTCTGCACTCTTTGCTCTTTATCTCCAAAACTGCTGGACCTGCCTTTGCCAAAAACTAATCACCGCATCTCCCTATCAATAGGAATCGACTGCTGAATGTTCAGAAACCTCTGAAACGTAAAGATATGCTAAAAAAAATTATTTTCAATTTTCAGACCATTACTATAACTTGTCCTTCGGGAAGTTAAAAACAAAGTTAGTACTATTAAATCAACTTATATTAGTATTAAACAAATATTTTGATAACATTTCTTGCTTGTGATAAAAAATGTATATAATTTTATATACGTTTTTTTATTGTTTATTTGTTGACTTTGTATATATGTACATTAGTCATATGCATTTTATAATTAATCTTTACACTTTTATTTTATTTATTTGTATATAATTGTATAGTGCACCATATATCCTTTTCTTTGTCAATAATTTTATATATGTTGATTTCACAGTTTTATTAATTTTAAGAAATAACTTGATATATGTATATTATAGAGTGAAAGTTGTATCGACAGGCGGACAGACGGACGGATGCAATATCGACGACGACAGTAGTGGTGTCGTCACATGTTAATAATAAATTCGCATAGCAGACGCAATATTCTAATTTAAGAATTCATTGAATAAATTAAAGCCCTATAAAACATTGATAGATTTATGTATATATATATATATATATATATATATATATATATATATATACACTATGTGTTTGCGTGTATGGGTTCACTTCACTTGATTTAATTCATCAATAAATATGTACTTATGCATTGCGATTAAGTGGTGTCCGAACCCTAGCAAAAAAGATCGATTTGCATCAATTTGTCGATATAACTGAATATGAACAAAATTAAATAATTAGTTAGTATTGGTATTTTGCCTTGAGGCAAGTTACATGAACTTCCCGAAATGTGTGAATAATCGACTTAATCAATAAAATATAAATTAATTTATGAGTGATTAAAGTATTCCGAGTGGATTCATTACGCATAATTGAAAACGAACGAACACGTTAACTCGGAGTATTTTCTAAAAGCAAATTTTCAAAAATCAACAATTTTTATAATTGAACCAATTTCCATAATAACTTTAATGGTTTAGTATGTTCATCAAGACCAAGTACTCTATCGTTATACCAAGTAAATCGTCTAATTTTGATTATAACAAACGCCAAATAAACTACTCATTTTCTCAAACTTTGATGAATTTTTAAAATTAAACCACTTGTCCTTAGGCCGTAATAATTCAATAAGTTCTATAAAGACTATGATATATATCGCTAAAAAAAAATGCATAAAAATCGGCTTAATTTTTTTTTCAACAGTTAATTACAAGAAAACGGCTCGGTAGATTTTCACCTAAAACTAATCAGTATCATTCCCAACTAATATCTTTCAAACAGTTTTTGATTTTTTAAAATGGAATCGGTAGTATGAGCTTAAATGTGGACAAAAAGTTTAACACTTTTTTTCCAAATTTCAAAGAAACGGCTTGGCCGATCGTCGCACAAAATTGACAAGCAATAGTCCCCATTGAAATACATCGATTGGCTTTTAAATTTCTGAAATCGATTCAGGCGTTTTTGAGCAATAGTCGATAAAAGGTCTAATTTTGACAAATGCCAAAAAAAACGTTACTGATTTTTGTAAGCTTTGACGAAAAACACACACACATACATCCATTTTTCTGAAGTATGCCAAAATTTTCAGAACGTCGAGAAATGCAAAAATTTTCAATTTCGATTTTTGGACGATTACAATAACTTACCCTACGGGAAGTTAATTATATCTGCAATAAAATATATACTTTAATTTTAGATAAATGAGACATAAAAAAATGGGGCAGCACTTTTGTCAGTGTCCCAGGGCGC